AAAAAATTCCAAAAAAAAACTATGTTATGGAGAAACATAAACTAAACAACATTTGCCTGGGAACTACATCCAAATTCTTTACCAGATTTGAATTAAAAATCCAATACAGAAAATAAACACTATGATAAAAATAATAAAAAATGAAAAGAGAATTAAAATGAGTGAGTGTGCCAGCACCTTTTCGACACCGCCATCTTTGCCGATTTTTAATTATTTTTCGGCATTGACAAATGCTCTGAAAATTTACAGATATGTAGTTTGCATAATCAATAACTCATTAAACGTTTTTCAAAAAATAATAATTTTTTTTAGGCCCCGAAATGAAGTGAAAACAAAAAGTTAAAAGTGAAAAAAAACAAAATAGTGAGTGGGCGAGCACATTTTGACACCCCCATCTTTGACGATTTTTAATGGTTTTTTGGCTTAGCAGAATGGCTTCAAAATTTATAGGCGTGTAGGTTACATCATAGATACCTCACAAAAAAAAATTCAGAAAAAAGAACTTATTTGTAGGCCCCGAAATATTTTTTGGCGGGGGCCGAACCTGGAGGTGTTCGGCCCCCGAACGGGACCCCGAACGCCCGAACGTTCGGGGGCCAGCCCGGGGGCCCCCGAACGTTCGGTCAGGTAACCCTAGTAATATTAGTATTTCTAAGACAATATTTAAATTAAATATTCAAATTTTGCACTGGATAATATCATTGCTCCTAGAGTTGTAAATAATAAAAATATTATAAACTCTGTCAATCGTATTCCAGAACATTTGATTAATTTTGATATATTCAAAGGATAAAGGAATCCTCATTACACATAGTCTCTTTATTTTTTCAAAAAAAATAATAAGACAGTTCAAAATTCCAATCAACTACAGGTAGATTAATAGGACATACTCGAACACATACTTCGCAAACAATACATTTATCAAATTCAAAATGAATGCGTCCTCGAAAACGTTCAGACTTTATTGCCTTTGATTGACTATATCTATGTAGCTGTAATTGAATTAATACATTTATGTTTATTACATACTATCTTATTTCATAAATAATCAATATAAAATAAAGATTCTTCTAGTAAAACTAGAAGAATCTTTTCCCAGTATTTGGTGGACAAATAATAATTTGATTTTAAATTCATTAAGTGAATTTCCATATCTATTTTATACTAAAGTTCATATTTCTAATGAATATTTTATGCAATTATTATTCACTAGAAATCAATCATTTAACATGAAGAATTTTGATCTACCTCTCCCAGATCCTTACCAACTGAGCTAGGCCGCTGGATGGGGAGATTCGTTATCATCTGGCGAATGCTGGAGCCAAGGCCAACGCCTCTTGCAAAAAGACAAAAGAAAACGAATCTACACCCACGCCCCCCCCCCCCCCCCCCCCAAAAAAAAAAACAAACAAACAGCAGTGTATCTTCCCATGTTCCTACGGGAGATTCATTCTTATTTTCCATATCAGATGAATGTTGGAGCCAAGGGCCAATGGGGGCTACCAAAAAGGCAGAAAAAAAACAGCTATCACAAAGGGGCGGAAAAACAGCACTGCATCTGCCCATGTTCCAGCGGGCGATTCATTCTCATTTTGCACATTTGGTGAGCATGCCTTTATGCCTATTGTAGTGGAAGCTGTCTCTTTCAATGATTATGTTTCTTGGGTGTCTAATAAATTAGACTAAAAAACAAAGGAGCGAAGCAATGAGTATGAGTTCTCAAAAGCATCCTTATCATTTAGTTGATCCAAGTCCATGGCCTATTTTTGGTTCACTGGGAAGCTTTGGCAAGTATGGCATAGCATCGGTCCTCTCGGAAGAACGGAAAAAAACGAATCTGCGGAAAAAGACAAAAAAATACGAATCTAGTAATCTACTGCAAACGAAGTAACGAATCTGCTACCAAACAAAAACCAACGCTGCACAATGGGCCTCGCTGCACTACTCTCCAAATGTGCAAAATGAGAATGAATCTTCCGCTAGAATGTGGAAAGATACACCACCATGTTTTTTTACTTCCGTGCAGGGTTGCATCCCTGCCGACCGCCGACCGTATTGCAGCCGACCAGTTGGGCCGACCGGTCGGTGGTCTGCCGACCAGTAAAAAAAAATAAAAAAAGAAAGAAAAAAGAAAAAAGAAAAAAAAGAAAAACATCCCTTGATTTTTTTTCAAATCTGAGTTGGGGGCTGTACTGTGCTTGCTGAGTACAGCCCAAATCCGCTGAGAAACTCTTGGGGATGGGGGGGGGTATGGGGGGGTTGGGGTTGGAGTATAAGGGGCTATAGGGGTGGTATAGGGGTGGTATAGGGGGTATTGGGGGGGCACGGGGGGTAATGAGGGTGTTGGGGGCGGTTTGGGGGGGTGTATGGGGGTGTTGGGGGACGCTATGGGGGTGTTGGATGTGTTATTGGTGGTTCTGGACCCCAATTTTCTTTATTTTTTTTATTTTTATTTTTTTTTGCGGGGTGCCGACGACCCCCGACCGGTAGGTGCCGACCGGCCGATGGGTCGACGGGTCGGCAGCCGACCAGTCAAGGGCCGCCGACCGTCGGGGGATGCAACAATGCTTCCGTGCACGAGGAGAGTAGTACAGCAAGGCCCTGTGTACGTGTATTCGAACGTATACCGCCGTGCAAAACTGTCGGGCACGTTTCTCCTTGTACACCTCGCTCACTCACTGCTTTGCTCCTTGGCCCCATGCGGGCACCTCACTTGGGCTGCACGGCACTGACTTTCAATGGGCCCGCTGGGAACCGTCACGGCGGGCCCTTTGCAGTGTTTAAGAGTATTTTTATTTTTAAGAGTATAGAGAAGACCTTTTGGGAGAGTCAGAGGCAGATTCTCTCTACAAGGAGTTCGCAGTGTCAGAAAGGAAAATGTCAATGATACTCACAAGTCCTTTGGTCTTCTTCTCTTTTTGGGGGGGCAACGGCTCCTGGGTCACACCGAGCGTGTAATGACCCGCCAAAACACAGACTGAGAACACTGCTGATTTCTGAGTTCTGCCGCTGGAATGGATGCCTTGCTGAGATCCCCGCATTCGGCTGATTTTTCTAAGTCTGTGTGTGTGTGCGTGCTTGATGGTCTGCGTGCCTGTCTCAGTGCTGGTTGGCCTGAGTGTGTGTGACCCGCAGGGTGCTTGCTTGTTTGGGAGGCCCGTAGGGCCGGTACTTACCTGTGGCCGCGACATTGAGGGTTGCAGCGGGGGAAAAACACTCTCAAGTGGCGGGGCACGAGGCCGGCGACACTTAGGGCAGAGGGAAAACAGTTCAAAACACTCAAGTAGCAGGCAGGCCAGTGCCACACCAAGTAGAAGTAGATGTGCCGGGTACTGGAGGCCGAGCAGAAGAAGACAAAAGTTGCCATTTTTAGAGGCCAAGTAGCTGTAGGCTAGGTCTAGGTGGGTACCAGTCCAACCAGTCTGAGTCTAGGGCCTGTACGACAGGGTTGCGCCCCTGCCGACCGCCGACCCCTACTGCCGACCGTATTGCAGCTGACCAGTAGGGCCGACTGGTCGGCGGTCTGCCCACCAGTCAGAAAACAACCATCCACTGATTGTTTTTCAAATCTGAGTTGGGGGATGTGCTGCGCTTGCTGAGTACAGCCCAAATCCGCTGAGAAACTTGTGGGGATGGGGGGGGGTATGGGGGG